AACACCAGGAGAGCGAACAAAATACCTGCACAGACACCCCAGCACAAAACCCTAAACCCTAAACGGCATCGAATATACACCTGAACTCCACAAGCGCAGCAGAGATGGGGTAATACGAGCGAATTAGGGTTTAGGGTTTAGGGTTTGGTAGGGACTCACATTCATATTGAGATGAAGGCAGCACATGCAGAAGCGCAGCACCAAGCTGTCTGTACACCGCAGCTGCTATTAACTTTAGCTGCTGCTGATACGAAACTACTAAGTCTCCCTCTGCTGCACTCCCTGCTTCTGTTGCTGCTGCTGCTACTGTTGCTGCTGTTGGTGCTGCTGCTACTGTTGTTGCTGGTGCTGCTGCTGTTGCTGCTGCTTTTGTCTCTGTCGCGGCAGCAGCCTCATTGCTCAGGGAGACACCGTCTGGTTCTTCACCTGCAACAGCAGCAACAGCAGCAGCAGCAGCAGGACCCGCTTCTGCTGTTGCTGCTGCTGCTGCTGCTGCTGCTTCATTGCTGCTGCTAATGGAAGCAGCAAGAGCCTCCTGAATGAGCCGCTTCAGCAGGTTTAAACTTGTATGCAGCTCTCGAACACTGTCGCTTTTTATCTTCCCCTAAACCACACAGCGCCGCAAACCCTAAACCCTAAACCCTAATAAGCAACCCCACAGTCAGAAGCGCAGAACAGCTGCCAGGACGACACCTCGCGGCTAGCTGGCTAGCTACCTAGCTAGCTAAATAGCTAGCTAGCTAGAGAGGCAGCTAGCTAGCTAGAATGAATGGTACCTGGAAGAAGGAGGAAGCAGTAATAACAACTTCGCATTCAAATTCAATTTGCGTGCGAGGGGTGGTTGTGGGATCGTCCGATCCCAGATCGATCCCGCTGTTGTCAGTTGAGGGGTCGTCCGATCCCGAGTCGATCCCAGTGGCATCCGGAGCGGGATCGACCGATCCCAAGTCGATCCCAGTGGTGTCCGATCTGGAGATCGACGATCCCACATCGATCCCCTGTCTGGGATCGTCGATCCCCTGTCTGGGATCGTCGATCCCCGCCCCCAACGCTGCACTTGGAGTTAAGGCAATGCACTTAAGCCGCTGCCTTAAGAAGAAAGTATCTGAATAAGGGGGCCCTGAGAGATTACTCTCTGTCTGCAGCACTACAAACTGAGGTGTACATACACTGCAGACGCAGCGCTCTTGCAGCATCCCTCGACTCGGCAAACCCAGCAGGCGGGTCAAAGAAGACTCAGGAACTGAACGCACAAACCCCAAACCCTAAACCCTAAACCCTAAACCCTAGTTACTACCCTACACCTAAACCCTTCTCTAGACACACTATGCTTTAAAAGCCCTAAATCCAAAACCCTAAACCCTAAACCCTAAACGCCACACTGGGAAGTAACCTAGAGATAAACCCTACGCGAGGCATTCTAAACCCTAAACCCTAAACCCTAAACCCCTACGTTTAATGTCGGCATCAAATTCTCGTGATATCTGGCAGAAACGGCCACTGAAAATCCCCTTCTCCAATTCAGACTCGTCTGCTGCTGCTGCTGCAGCAGCTGCTGCTGCTGCAGGTGTTGCTGCTTCTGCAGTTGCTGCTGCTGCAGCTGCCGTTGCCCCATCGCAGGCAGAAGACGCGCCATTGTTGCTGCTGTCGTCGCTGTTGCTGCTGCTGCTGCTGCTGCTGCTGTTGCTACTGCTATTGCTGCTGTTGCCGTTGTTGCTGTTGCCGTTGCTGTTGTTGCTGTCGCTGCTGCTGCTGCTGTTGTTGCTGCTGCTGCACAGGCTCCAGGGCGGCATTGGGTCGGGAAATATTGCGTCCTTCTCCTTCAGCACGCTGCATCAGCAGCAGCAGCAAACAAGCTACTAGGGGTTACAACAGCACGGGCAGCAGCAGAAGCAGCAGCAGCAGCAGAAGCAGCAGCAGCAGGAACAGGAAGGTTCCTAGAGGTTGCAGCTCCACACACCAGCACTTGCAACAGCCTCAGCAGCAAGTGCTGCTAGCAATAACCGCAGCAACAGCAGCACTTGCAGAAACAGCAGCAGCAGCGGCAACAGCAGCAGCAGCAGCAGCAGCAGCAGCAGACCCGGTAAGAGGACTTGAATTAGGATTGATAAGGATGCCTATGAGCTCCCTCAAGGAGACATCAAAGGAGACAGTACATACAGCCTCTTCTAGAGGCTGCAGCAAACCTGCTGCTGCTGCTGTTGCTGCTGCTGCTGCACCAGCCGCTGCTGCAGCTTCAGGGTCGTCCCCGTTTGCTGCTGCTGCTGCTGCTGCTGCTGCTCGGACCTCTCCCTCCGTTGGGTACGGCCGCCGCTCGCATCCCTGTACAAAAAAGCAGCAACAACAGCAACAGCAGCAGCAAAATAGCAGCAGCAGCAGCAGGACTGCAGGGCAGGAGCAACAGCAGCAGCAGGACTGCAGGAGCAACAGCAGCAGCAGTATGATCACAACAGCAGCAGCAGCAGCAAAGTGCCGCACCAGCAGTAGCTGCATTACTGCA